CTGCTAGGGGACCAGCAGGTGCCATGGTGGTTAAGGCACTGGACACTCCCACATGGCTGACCACAGTTCAAGTACCAGACCTGGTAGCTTGCTTTCTCACTTTCTCTCTGTCTCTCTCTGGTCAAATTAAAATAAAAAATGGATGAATAAATTAAAAAATTAAATAAAATAATTCTTTTTTTGGGGGGGAGAGATTTTTTTGCTATAGGGCATGTGCGCTTGCCAGAAAGACAGAGAGACAGAAAGTGAGAAATCACCCCCCAGGGGGATGGCCACACCGCAATCCCTTCTCCTTCATTCTCCTCTTGGGATCTTGGGCATGTATGCACATGTGCCTAGAGTGAGTTTAAGCCACTGGGTACGGGACATGAACCACGGTCGACTACATGGAAGTCCAGTGACATAGCCATTATACCAACTGCTGGTCCCAGCTCAGTGTGTTTTTCAAAACCTCTGGGTCTGGGACTCAAACCTAGCAGTTAGCCATGTGGGATGCAGCTGCCTTCATCATCATGCTACTGGCTGGCATGAAGTTTGGAATTTTTTTCCTTTGAAGAATTATTTTATTTAACTTTATGTATTTATTTGAATACATAAAGAAAGGGACAGAACAAGAGAGAGAGAGGGAAAATGAGAAAGAAAGCCTCCAGGTTGGGACTTGAACCAGTCAGCCATGTGGGAGTCCAGCACCCTTAACCACCATGCCACCTTCCGGTGGAAATTTGGGATTTTTAATCTCATGTTTTAATGTTAATCTTGTTTCTAAGTCTTTGAGAGGTAAATATTAATAGTTTAGCTCAGCTCAAAGGAGCGGGCCTGAAATCAGAAGTACTTCAGTTCTGGGGTTTTCTGGTGACTTGGTGGTTAAGGGCATTGGATTCTCACTAAGGCCAACCAGGGTCTGAGTCTCGAATCTGGTGGCTTGCTTTCTTACTTTTTCTCTCTCTTTCTCTTGCTCGCCCACTCTGTTGTTCTCTAGTCAAATTAAAAATAATAAATATATAAAGTTAAATTAATTTTAAAAATTCTTAATTAAAAAAAAAAAAGTACTTCAGTTTCTATCACATCTCTGCTTTCTTTTTGCTAACTGTAGCGGGTGGGCAAATAATACCTGATCTTGACTGTAAGGATTTACTGCACCGAGCGTACAAAAGTAGCACCTGTACCTGCTAAAGAGCTCAATAACGATAGCTGGCAATTGTTACCGTTATGAAGGCATTTTAGACATTTAGCGTACTGTAGACAAAAAGAGGAAGGGACTTCACATCTCTGCTTTCTTTTTGCTAACTGTAGCGGGTGGGCAAATAATACCTGATCTTGACTGTAAGGATTTACTGCACCGAGCGTACAAAAGTAGCACCTGTACCTGCTAAAGAGCTCAATAACGATAGCTGGCAATTGTTACCGTTATGAAGGCATTTTAGACATTTAGCGTACTGTAGACAAAAAGAGGAAGGGACTTGCTCAAAGTCATGCGCAAAGCCTAACAGATCCGTACCTGGAGAACTCAGATCTGGCGTGTCCCCTCCCCTCTTACCCCGCCCCTAAGACACCGCCCCGGCCCCAGGCCTCTGCCCTGACCACACCAGGAAGTCCAGCGCTAGAAGATGGGCTGTGCGCGTGATGAGCGCGAGTGACGCAAGGGGGCGGGTCTTGGAAGCAGGCTGCGCCAGGATAGGACAGTGGGTTCCCGCGGAAGGGGAGGGTGAGGTCAGGGGGCGGGGTTTCGCGGGATAGGTCTTGGGGCTGGGCTTCCGCGTGCGTTGATCTGGCGGGCTAGAGAGGCGGCGGGGGCGTGCCCGACTGGCGGGGTGGGGCGGAAGGTGGGCGGCTGAGGGGGGCGTGTGGAGGGCCTGCAGCAGCACAGGCGCAAGGCCGGGATGGGGAAACTGAGGCTTGAAGCAGGGCGACGAATCCAAGGTCACGCGGCGGGCCGGGCCTTCCTGGGCTCCCGAGGCCGCCTTGTCGCTTCCTGCGCCGCCGGGGAGGCTTGGGGTTCACGATGTGAGTGAAGCTCAGGGGACAGCTGCCTTGGGGCCCAGGCTTGGCCGCTGGCGATCGGACTTGCCTGCGGACAAGTATTGTTTTGTTCTCCCGGCGCCGGGGCCACCAAGTCCGACTCCTGGGGAATTACTATACACACGCCTGTGTTGAGGGGTGTGTAGTCAATGTTGGAGGAGGCGAGGATGGCTCCTCGGAGGGGCCCGCTGAGCGCAGGCTCAGGAGTAGGACTTCCTGGGTTCACATCCCGGTTCTCTCAATTACAGGATGTGACCTTGGCTCTCCCTGAGTCTCAGTTTCCCCATCTGAAAAAAGGGGGAGCGAACCTTCTTCCCAGGGTTCTTGGATTTAGTGAAGCTTGTAGATGGCTTGACACAGTTCCTGGTACACACACACGCGTGAAAACTCATTGTAATTGTGGTTATTAATCTCATCCAGTGTGACCCTCACTCAGAAAACTCTGAAATTGGACTCCGGTTGTGTATTTGTTTCCGGTTTTTTTTGTGGTTGGTTAGTTCTGTTGTGTGTTCTGTTGTGTGATCTGTTGTTCTTACCTCCATTCTGGCATTTATTCAGTGTTCCTCCTAGTAGTGTGAGATCACCCTAATAAGAATAATAAAATTTTAATAGTTTTTCATTACAGTAGGAATGATAGCCAATATTTTTAGAGCACCAGGCATTTTACATTCTATTTTAATATTTATTAAACCATCTATTAAGTAAAAAGTATCATTCTAGGCCCTGGAAATATGGCAACAAACATGATAGACCAAACTCCTGCCTTTGAGTTCATTTAGGAGAGTAGACACACTAGATATTTTTGCCTATTTTTTGTTGTTTAATGCTGGTGAAAACCTAAATAAATATTTGAGTATCCCCATTTTGCAGAGGATGAAACTGGAACAGAAGGCATTCTGCATTCTAGCTTCAGAGATATGTTCCTCCCATTTAGAAGGGAGCTTTTGCACAGCTTCTCTTTGTTTGGCACCCATTAACTGTTGGATTGAAGAAGTACAAAATAGGGACTGGCAGGTGGTATTGGGGGTTAAGGGCTCTGGACTCCCACATGACCAACTGCGGTTCAAGTTCCGGACCCGGTGACTTGCTTTCTCACTTTCTTTCTCTCTTTCTCTCTCTCTCTCTCTGTCCCTCTCTGGTCAAATTAAAATAAAATAAATAAATAAATAAAGTTAAATAAATAATTCTAAAAAAAAAAAGTACAAAGTAGTCCTACCCAGCTAATCCCACTTCATAGTCAAGTCTGCAGTTGGTTTCTTAATGGTTTGACCCATTCTTGGAAGTTGTAAGTTAAGAAAGGCAGGCTGATGTGAGTCTTTAGGTCTGATAAAGGTGCACCATCACAGTTAAGTGAAAAGACCATTTAAAAAAAATAATTATTTATGTATTATTTTTCAATTTTGACCAGAGAAAGAGAAGAGAGAGATGGTGAGAGAGCAAGCTGCCAGGTCCAGGACTTGAACCATGGTCGGCCATGTGGGAGTCCAGCGCCCTTAATCACCATGCCACCTGCCTGCCCTCCCCCCTTTTTTAAAGAATTATTTATTATCATTATTTTTCCATTTGAAAAGACCTTTTATCTAAACTTAAATTTCTTATCTCCAAATCCCTTTTGTGTAGTGTTCGGTTTAAAATATGCTAAATATGTTTACTGCAGCTGGGTCCCACATGCCTGACTGCATGGTTGAGTCCTGAACTCCTGGTGCTTAAAAAACACATACTGGGTGCATGTGCATGCATGCCCAAAATCTGGAAAGGAAGAAGGGAAGGTAGGGGTGTGCTTCTCCACTTCCCCTTTCTTTCTTTTTGTCTCTGACAAGGGCACCCACCCTCTGGCAAATTAAAAAGAAAAAAGTACAACTTGGTTTTGTTATGTAACTTAAGTTTTTTTTTTTTTTTTTTTTTTTTTAGTGTTCCTCAGAGAATTCTCCATTACATTCCTTAGTGTGTGCTTAGTATACTTTTTCTTTTAATCTGGAAGCTTATAGTAAGTGGTAGTGAGGGTTTTTGTTTTTTTTTCAGTGAGGGTCTCATGATACCATTAGGTTCAACATTGATCCTCTGCTTAAACGCCAGGCCCTGTGCTGACATAGGTGTCACAAAGATGAAGAACAGGCTATTATTGCCCCTGAAGCGTAGCTGTGGTCTTGATTAGCTTATGTTTTAAACTGAAGTGCTGTGGAAAGAGCTTAGGAACCTAGTCCTAAAACCAGTGCTTTAGCCCTTGAACTGGAGACTCTGGAAGAGTCTGAGCTGTGACCTCAAATGTTTTGGCGTCCATTCTATCAGTAAATAGAGTTGATCATGCACGCACATTATGTTTTATATTACAGATATAGTATGACTGTATAATGTGAGTTTTATAACATACAAAACAGACATTTTATGGAAGGATGAGCTAAAATAAACATAGGTAGTTGTTTCAATATTACCTTTCCACACCCTAGTGTGTGAATAGTAACTGCTTCCGGGAGTGGAAATCATTGATCTTCCCTTCAACCTATTAGTTGTGTTTCTCTGAAGAAAATCTAGCTTGTCCTGTTGAAGTAAATTGTAATGTTTAGATTGAAATTCAGTTTTGCACCTGTGGCTACGTTGAAATCTTGAGGACCAGACCTTACAAGCTTTGAGGCTTTGCACCTTTCTCTGCACTTCATTTTCCTTATCTGTAAAATTGAGATGATGAGTTTGTGCCACACTCACAGTTTCATTGTGATGATTAACATATGTATACATTCATAGAACCTGTTAATATTTGTAAAGTACTTAAACAGTTTTTGACATTCTGATTTGGATGCTGAGAGTACAGAGATGACTTAAGATATTCTAGTTTAGGGATCAGCAGTTGTAATGGTTATGTTGCTGGACTCCTATGTAGTCAACCGTGGTCTGAGTCTTGGACCCAGTGGCTTAAACTCATGCCCTGTAAGTGCTTTAACCCTTTGAGGATACACAGTAGGCATAACTAACTGTTCTTGGAAAGTCCAGGTTAGGGAACCAGCAGGTGGCGTGGTGGTTAAGGCACTGGACTCCCACTTCGTTGACCACAGTTCGAGTCCTAGACTGGGCAGCTTGGTTTCTCACTTTCCCTTTCTCTGGTCAAATTAAAATAAATAATAATAACAAATGTGGGGCTGGCAGGTGGAATGGTAGATAAAGATGCTGGATTCCCACATGGTCGATGACAGTTCAATTCCCAGACCTGGCGGCTTTCTTTCTTTCTCTTTCTCTCTCTCTGTTTAAGTTAGAAGATAATAATAACAAATGAAATTAAATAAATAATTATTTTAAAAAATAATAAATGGGTCAGCAGGTGGCATGGTGGTTAGGGGCGCTGGACTCTCACATGGCCAACCACAGTTCAAGTCCCAGACCTGGTGGCTTGCTTTCTTATTTTCCCTTTCTCACTCTCGCTTTTTCCCTCTCTGGTCTGATTAAAAATAAATAAAGTGGGGCTGGCAGGTGTGCTGGACTCCACATGGCCAACCACGGTTCAAGTCTCAGACCTGGTGGCTAACTTTCTCACTTAATCTCTCTCTCTCTCCCGTTCTTGCTCTCACTCTCACTCTCACTCTCTCTCCTCTCTCTGATCAAATTAAAAAATAATAACAAACGGATTTAAATAAATAAAATAAATCTTTTTAAAAATAAATAAATAAAGTTAAAATAATTCCTTAAAAATAATAAGAAATGAAATAAACCAAAATTCTTTTTAAAAAAGAATCATTTATTTCATTTTATTTGTTATTATTTTTAAGTATACCAGAGAGAGAAAGAGAAAGGGAAAGTGAGAAAGCAAGCCACCAGGTTTGGAACTTGGACCGTGGTCAGCCATGTGGGACTCCAGCACCTCAACCACTATGCCACCTGCTGGCCCCAGGTGTTAGACTCCCACACGGTTGACTGCAGTTCAGGTCCTGAACCTGGCAGCTTAAAAATCATGCCAGTGTGTGTGTGTGTGTGTGGTGTGTGTGTGTGTGTGCGCGCGCTCGCTCGCTCCCCAAATCCCAGGAGAGTGGATGATAAGGTATCATGGTAAGACCATCCTGCTGGGGGTGATTTCTTACTTTCTCTTTCTCTGTTTTCCTGTCTCTCCAGTGAGGGCACACACTCTATAGCAAAAATCTAAAAAAAAAAAAAAGGAAAAAGTGACAGTTGAACCATGCCTTGAAGGAGAAGGGACTGTTTTTTAGGAGTAGAGGTGAACATTTAAAGGTATATAGTGTGTAAACATGGAGGGTATTGAGACTCGCAGAGTGAGCAAATCCTTAGATCTGGGCCTACAAGGAACCTGATGGAAGTTTGTAGATCTTCGCAATAACAGTTCTGGCCAGAGTCATTCCTGGTCGGGGCCTCTTGTAGAACTTCTCACAGCACCATAGCTCTTTCCTCTCTGTCTGTGGCTCTTGCCTCAGAGTAAACTTCTAGACTGTAAGCTTCTTGAGGGTTATGATGGTATCGCAGTTTTGTAATTTAATTTTGGCGGGTGAAGAAAGTGAGAAGCCTATAAATGTTGGGGAAAGATCTATAAATCATTGGACCTTCCAAGAAGTCTAGTTACAAGTGGAATGGTAAATGACCAAATCTACTAGTGAAAAACTTGGTACAAATACTTTATGGTGGATGGGCTCTGTGCATTATTATTGAAAAAGTGTGGATCATGTTTGGTACGAATCCCTTTCTTCACGTGGCACTTACCCCTAAGAATTGCAGAAGTGGGAAGGTGCAACCAGAGAGATTTGAGTGTGCATATTTCCCATTTGCTCCTCTAGTCCATTCTCCATCCTCTCTCATGGTATTCTCTGCCCTGGGAAGCTGACCACGTCAGTGACTTCCTTCTCTGAGGTTATGAAATTTATTTCCTTGCCCCTTTCCTATAGTGTTGCCCATAGCTGATGGTGTTCCCCCAGGGAAGGTCACTGCTCCTCAAAAGCGGTCCGCATCTCTGTAAGACTTCCCTCCTTGTGGGTTTGGAAAGTTTTTGCTCCCTTGGTACCTTGATCCTTGGGGGGCTCTCATTAGTCCCAGGGTCTTACAACTATCCCTCGTGATGAATTAATTGCCTCACCTCCTGCCCAAACCTTTGTAGGTGCCTTACTGACCCCTCCCCCCGCCCCGTGACCCTAGTGGAGTATGCCCATCTTGGTTATATTTTTTTCTCTAAAAGTTTGTTTATTTATTTTTTTCAGAGACAGCAGAGAGATGTACTGCCAGCCAGTTCTTGATGCTGTGACCCACTCTAGCCTCATCCAGCTTAGATCACAGGCACATCCTTGCTGTGCCCTGGGAGTTCCCAGGAGTCAAACCCAGGACCTTTCCCATGTGGGTCCAGTTGCATTTCTACTGTATCACTACCTGGCCTTACCTTGTTAAAAGAATAACTTGTGAGACTGTCACTCAAAAATCTACTCATAGGGGCCAGCAGGTGGCGTGGTGGACTCCTACATGGCCAACCATGGTTCAAGTCCTGGACTTGGCAGCTTGCTTTCTCATTCTCCCCCCTTTCTGTCCCTCTCTGGTCAAATTAAAATAAATAAAATTAAAATAAAATAATTCTTTTTTTTTTTTTTTTAAGCTTACTCATATTCCACAGATACTAGAAGCAAAGATCCTTATCTTGAAGCTTTAGCTCATAATAGATTTAAAAGCAAAACATTTTGGTGGGGGAGGAGAGGTTTTTGCTATAGGGTATGTGTGCACGCCAGAAAAACAGAGACAGAGAGACAGAAGGTGAGGAAATAACCCCCTGGGTGGATAGCCATGCTGCAGTTCCTTCTCTATTCTCTTGGGATCTTGGGTACACATGCACATGCGCCTGGCATGAGTTTAAGCCACCGGGTCTGGGACTTGAACCGTGGTCGACTACATGGGAGTCCAGCAACATAGCCATTACGCCAATTGCTGGTCATAAAAGCAACACATTAAGTGAAGAGGAGAGGGGGTACCTCAGGCAAGCATACTGATAATGAGGGTGTAGGGTCTTAGACTCTCTTGTGGCTCTTAATTTTTTTTTTTTTTAAAGGTTTTTGCTGTAGGGCACATGTACTTTCAGAGAAAAACAGACAGTAAGAGAGAAAGTGAGAAATAGATGGGATGACCATGCAGTGTCTGGCATGATTTTTTTAAGAGTGATTTTGGCATAGGGTGCATGTACTCGCTGGACACACAGACAGATACAAAGAGACATTGACAAATCATCCCCTGAGGGGATGGCCATGCTGCAATCTCCTCTCTTCATTCGCCCCTTGGGATCTTAGGCATGCCCTCACATGCGCCTGGCACAAATTTTGAGCCACTGGGTCTGAGACTTGACTTGTAGTTAACTATGTGGGAGTCCAGTGATGTAACCATTGTGCCATCTGTTTGTCCCACAATCTAGGCTTTCTAATCACAGAGCCTAAATTGTTTTTTTGTTTTTGCTGTAGGGCCTGTGTGCTTGCTAGAGACAGACGGACAGGGAAAGTGAGACCCTTCCACCTCCTTTGGGGGATGACCACACTACAATCCCTTCTCCATTCTCCTCTCAGGATTTTGGTCACACATGCACACTTGCCTGGCATGTTTTTCTTTTTAATATTTTTGCCATGGAGTGTGTGTGCTCACAGAGGAGAGAAAGTGAGAATCACCTCCGGGGTTATGGCCACCCCTCAATTTCTTCTCCATTTTTTTGAGATTTTGGATACACATACATATGTGCCCAGTGTGATTTTCTAAT